GGAAACCCTATACAGACTTGCCGTGGTTGCTATGTTGCAACCAAGTCGGTGGCACTTAACAACAACAACATATGGTACTCTAGGACTCAGAGAGTATACCCAAGGAAGGACAAATGTGGAATTGGGACTCCCCAACCCCAAGACTGGAGTTCAGAACTCATTGAAGAAGGTGTGATTGCCACTCTCTGTATACCAGAGAAATTTGCTGGTTTCCTCGGGCCATAGTTGATCTGTGATCACTGGGCAAACAGAAACAACCCTCTTTTGTTCCGTGGCCAGGCCAGGACATACAAGAGAATGGGGCCTTGATGCAGCAGGAGGTCTGGCTATATGGTGTCTGCATCAAGAAAGTCATGAGAAGGTGACTGCCAGACTAGACTAGGCTAAATGCATGGGCTCCTGGCTGGGCAGAACATCACTGGATAGCTTCACTTCCAACTGCAGACCGACAGCAACAGCTGGAGACAGCAGGAAAATCTCTCCCTTCACTGTTCTTCTGCAGTCTCTACTGAGAAAGCATAACGTTGTGCTTACTATAGAAAAGAAATGTTTAAAGGAGTCACATCCAATATCACAGACCATGTATTTTAGGTGAATTTGGAACCGAGAGGCAACATACTGATAAGCAACATAGAAGGTTATCTAATCTGGTCATGCTACTTTGTAATGTGTCTAATCCTGTGTCTCCAAGGACATTTCATCTGGTGAGTAACCCAGATCTGGTGCTGGCGGTGAATATGATGAAAGCTGGAAATGCACTTGGTGGCTATCCAGTTATTGTTCAGGTAAGATATATATAGACTAAAGAGCAACAATGGCCTCTTACTTAATTAAATTTAAGTAAAACTCTATGCATTTTATTGTCAAGAAAGAAAATGACTATTTTGAATGTTAATTGCTAAAACATTTACACTAGTCTGCTTGGATTTTAAATTGCACATGTTCATGTAGCTTTTAGTTTAGGTGAATTTAACAGATGGTGCATGCGGGCTTGTTGCATGCCAGTCACCATGCTGGTTACTGAAATCCAATGCTGAGCATGACCAACTGTCCTGCACCACTCATGGAACTCTGTGGTGGGCACAGTCAGGTGAATGACTGTTAAATTCATGAGTTTTAAGTTCTATGATCAGGAATATGTGCAA